TGTCTCGACTACGAGCGTCAGGTGTTCCAGTCTTGGGAACCAGGACTGCAGGTCCTGTACATATGTGATGTTAATAATCTCTACCAGAGGTCAATAATATAATAAGTAATATTAATAGTCGCGACTAAGAAACTTCTAATCGTAATCTCTCTCTTGTTTTCATTTCTCGGCGGCTTGCTTGTATTCAGTGGGGAATATGTACTAGGAAAGGGTAGGTCTAGTTGGATGTTAGTTGATATGGTTGCTCTTATTTACGCCCGAATGCTTTATACAATTTCTAAGGCAGAATAGGATAGGACTCGCGCGGTTTCGAGTGGGAACGGACCCTCCCAGTGCCGGAACCACTTGAACGACGGATCCAATGTTGTCCTGTCTGGGTTTTCGAACAGTTCCCTGCGTACTTAATCACAAGAGCAATTTTATACTTGCTCCCCAGCCATGTGCACCATGATGCTTACGCCCCATCTATGACCCAAACAAGGCGCAGCTCGAGTTCAACTTTCCGTGACACAATTGTTCTTCTAGGTTTCTTGTATGTACTCAGAAAATGCTTGGTCGGTCAGCGATCGAGAACAAGAGCTGATGCCGAACACGCGGCGTGTGTTGCGCAGAGTGAGTGGCAAGGGCAAAATATCGAAGACAGACAGAACCTATAGCCATTTGCTTGTAACTTTGTTTTGCTACATTTCATCCGTTGGTGTCAACATCGCAGCAGAGGATTCAAGTAAGATTTGTCCTCGATCGTACGTGGTTCATTTGAATGATTTACATAGGTAGTTCAATACATCCTTACCGAGTTTGTCAGACGGCCACTTAAAACTCTTGATATGTACGGGGTCCAACCTACACAAAAAATTAAGACAACGAATATACAGGAAGCCTCGCGCTCATCCTCGGCTTTTGTAAGAACTCCAGTGATGCAACCCTTCCAGGCCTTGCCGCCTTGCTTATGGTTTGACGGCATCTGGCGTAAAGCAGACAGGTGTACAGACGTACCTCGGTGAAACCCTTCATTAGACCTTCCGTCTTATTCTCAGGCCATGTGTAATGGGTCGAAACTCGGGAGGTGATGGCAAATGCAACATGAGAGGAAACGTTTCATTCCTCGTCCCCTTCTTCCTCATCATCATCTTCTTCATTTTGGACTCCGGCAGAGGTATCCCGCGCCTTTGCCCGCCGTATACTTGCCTGGATATTCCTCACATCGCTCTCCCTCACCAACGCCCCCGTTTCCTCAGAGATCTTCTCCGCAATCACGCGCGCCGTCAACTTCCCCGTCGGCAGGTCCCCCCTCGACAACGCATCCACCCGGTTCCGGATCCCCTGCACGCCGCCCTCGGCCGCCTCCCAGCTCAGCTGGCGAAAGGACCGGCTCGTGGCAAAGGACTCGGTCAGCGGCGGGTGGTTGTGCTCCATGTTGTGCGGGATGCAGACCCAGCAGTCAGTCTGCAGGGTCAGGTGCGCGCGCCACATGCAACCCGTCTTGTTGGACTTTGTGTTGCGGATCATGGCGACGGAGGCTTTGGGGCGGCCGCCGCGATCGCAGCTCAGGTCTTGGCGGTAGATTTCTTTGGTGCCTGCTGAGCGCTTGGAGCGGGTTTTGATGACGCCGTAGCCCTCTTTGCGTTGGAATTCGCGGACTTTGGCGACGAGGCCGTCGAGGGTGGAGTCTGTGATGTACATTCGTTCGGTCGGTGAGCTGGTGATAGTGTTGGTCGGTGATGTAGAGAGTGTTTGAGTGAGGAGACGGGGGGTAATCGGTTGTTGATGGTTTGGGAGTAAGTAGGGGGGCAAGTAAGGGGATGGAGCGACGCGCTGCGCACCATTTAGCATGCTACACGGCCATTCGGAGCTTGGGTAAAGTTTAAGCGGTGGCCGAATAGGGGATAGAGGGTGCCGGATATGGATCATCCTTCGTCCGTAATGTACTTGGATAATACAGTAGCTGTGTCCTATTGAAATGAGACGCAAGCATCAAGTTGCCAGTCGATCTATCACTATAAACAATTGAGACTCTAAACCTTTCTCAACTCAGATATGGATCTTGCCCGAAGTTTTAGAAAGATGAGGTGTGTAACGCGCCAGTGCTGGCAGTTTCCCTTTATCCATGTTTCCCTCGGAAGCTGATTTCCTCCACTAGTCAGGGATTTGCAACAGGTTGCTTGCAATTTAACAGCACACAGTGAAATTAGTATCGAGAAATCCTTCTCTCGGCATGGCTAGATAGTACGGTATTGTTTGGGTTACGCCAACTACCACTTCGAATCTAAGGTACCTTCGTTGACGACACTGTTAGCCCGACATTGACTGGATCCAAAACGTCAAGTGTGTATAAGCCCGGTTACTCCAAGTCAGAGATACGCCACATAAACAGAGTTATTTGAGACCTGAATAACAGTCAGATACTCCAAAAGGCTAGGTATTGGGAGCGTATCTTATGTGGCAATGGTTCATAAGTGAGCCTCGGCTTATATGGTTCAAGCTAGCCGCAGGCTGTATCGCTTGGCAGTGTAACGATGTCTTCTTCTTGGGAGGAGGCTCTCGCGGTTAGCCTTATCACGTGTATCTTGGCTGTCTTAGTTTAATCATCAATAGAAGAGACATATTCTCTTCTAATACTCTTGAAGCAAGGATCCGTCCTTGTCATCTTTGCGTTGTTATGCACCCCAGCTCGCAACATTACACAAGCTCCTCCAGAATCCCCATGAGTCTGAACTCGCACGCACGCAAGGCTATACTATCCGGAAAAGACCTTCGAAACTTACCCCAAATCACAATTATTCAACGAACGCAACCGAAGTATGCTTAGCATTCTTCCGTCTAGCCTCTCCGAGGAAGAGACGCCTTGCCTCACAGTGCCTGACGAAAGCCGGGGACCATGCGACTTATGTTCGTCCATATCACGCTCTACAGACAATGAGGAGATATCTTCGACCACCCACACTGAACCCACGAGTACTACCGGCATGGGTGCTGAAGATAAGCACGGGTGCTGGTCCGAAGAAGCGAAAACCTGGCGTCCTACATGGCTTCAGCCCGCGGTGTTACTGGCATTCTTTGCCTTCTTCCTCTTTTCTACCATCACACTTCCGGCCATGTTTTGTGTATCTCTGCGAAACAATGGACTCGTGGAAACACGAGAGAGTCTCGTTTACCTATGGCGTTTTGGCCCAACAGCTGGTAAGGCTACGTAACCCTCCCAAAGAAGCCGAAGGGTACCAACTTAAGTCCATTGCTGATTTTCGTTCTAAACAGTGCTTACGCTCATATCCATTGGCTGGTCAAGGGTAGAAACGCAAACGCTGAGGTACATGCCATGGATTGCCTTCAGTCACGAAAGTTTGTCGACTAAAAATTTTGACAATGACAAACTCGATTATACCGCAATGCTTCCGCCGAAAGTTTGGATGGAGTCCTGGAGAAGGAAACACTATCTTGTTTTTCTTGTCGCCATTATTTCAATTGCCCTCAAGATTCAGATCGTTCTTGCTCCCGGTCTGTACAGCGTCCAAACCATCGAAGCGGGTACTCCAGTCGATATCGAAATTCTCGACTCATTCAACACCACTGTGCCGCCGTGGCGAATGCAAGATACTAGCCCATATTATATTGCGCAAGCCATCAGTAACTTCGACATGGGATATCCCTTTGGAGTCAATGAACGGATATCCTATCAGACATTCAAAAGCAAAAGTGGCTCTAGAGGCACAGTTGATGCACCTATCGGAGCTACCGTGGCTGGTCTTTCAACGGAAACGCAGTGTCTAAAGCTAGAAAACTATTCCTACTCAGAAATTACACATGATGTCAACAAATTCTCTCTGTATTCTGTTCGAGACCTGGAGCTACATTTCAATAGCTGCGAGGAGCCACTATCGATACCTGGATTCCAGGAAGAGACCATATATTACGGCGACACTACTGGAAACTTTTCTCATTGGGGAAGCCATTCTGCTTTGATCAAACCAACATCATGTGCAGGACTATCTCATGAATTTAAATACTCTTTATATTATGCGGCTCGCTTTGAAAGACCCACCATCAATTCTTCGTCGTTGGACTTTGATCTTGCAGCAGTCCTTTGCTCTTCTGGCTTGTGGGTCTCAAGAGTCAAGGTCACCGACAACGGTACGATGCCGCTAGTTGAAGTATTACCGGACGAGAACAGATACCCAATCACCGCAAACCTTTGGGATCTTATCGGTAATTCCGTACCTTTTGGTAGTTGGAACCAATCGAACATCAATCGGGTGTCGGGTCCAGTTGACACTGCCTATAGCTTTCTCGGCAACTCGTCAAGAATGGGCGTAGACTCATCGGGCGCTTCTCTATACACAAATGAGGTGCTTTACCGATCAGTCATGGATATGTCTCGTATTCTTGGCCCATGGATCGGACACTATCGTCTTCGGCACAGCGATGGCGAATATCTCAATGCAACCGGGGCCGTATTCAGAAAGGTGACCAAGCTGATGGTCAACAAGTGGACTTGCTTATCCATGACGACGATTTTTGGACTGGCAATGCTCATGGTGGCTCTTGTACTTCTCTTCTTCGAAAACATGACTATGATTTGGTACCGAGATCTTCTCACAGTCATTGGAAACATGATTTTTCTCCAACATCAAAGAAGATCATCGGACGGAGGATCAAAAGATAGCCCTGGACTCAAAGACAAAGCGATCGAATGGGGCAACTGCGACTTTACACCACTTGTGTTGAAAGTTTGGGCACGGGCATCCATAATTTCTCTCATCGTTGTCGTCACAACGGGCCTCTCTTATTCTCTGAAGACATCGATGGAGTACCAGGGAATCGCAACAGTGAGTGAAGAGGCGAATCATGCGTATCTGTTGTGGACTTCTGTCCCGACACTTTTGATGCTCAGCATTGCATTATATATCAACTCTTTCGACTCTACATACCGAGGTCTGGCCATACTATCCGCTCTTGCTATCAAATCATGTAGGGTCACAGCAATGGATATGTCGTTCTCGAATATGTTAGGGCTACAAGTACTCTACCACTCACTTCGAGCACATATTGGAACTGTCACCGTAACGCAGTTCTTAGCCATTATCTGTGGTCTACTAACAACTCTGGCTTCGGTTGTTTTTACCGTCAAGACAATCCCAGAGACGAGCACGATCTCGTTACAACAGAAGACCTGGTTTGGGTCTGGAGAGATGAGGAACGCTACAGAACTCAGCCGCAAGAGGCAGACTCTACGCAGCCTGGTTCTTCGTCAGGGTGACGGACTTCTCACATACCCCAAAAACACGTACGATACTCTTGTCTTTCCAACATTTGGCACCAGCGATGGATTAGACCCTTCGCAGAATATTTCAATCAAGGTCAACATGTCAGTTGCGATGCTGAAGCCCAACTGCTGGATAGTGCCTCCAGATGTTTATAACCTGACAAAACTGGAACGGATCGACGACTCCGACGGTTACTTCACAGTTCAGCCCCAGATCACCGAAAGCTTCAATTGCCCTAATGGGAGTCAAGCTCAACTCTCCCAAACCATCGCTTTCGTCCTTGGCGAAAGAAAGTCCGACTACGTATACTTAGCAACAGGATTAGACTCTCCAGAGGACCTACGCATCGTGAATAGGTCTTGCGGCTTGAGTCTCCGCGATACCGATATCATCCCGGCTTCAACCAAATTCATGACCTACGCCCTGGGAAAATATTCCCAAGAACAAGAAAAATTCTTACATCTCTCTATCACAAGATGTCAGTATTCCTGGGTTGAGTTGCCCACCGAAGTCAATTTCACCTTTCGCCATGGGGAGTTTGTCTTGAATCCAGGGGATTTACCACGACCGGATGAGTCTCGAGCTCAGCCCTGGGGCATGCCTTTCAACATACCAGACATCCATGATGCACTCCCAGAAGTAACAGCGAGTGACGCTTACGCAGGGTACTTCGACTCCTGGTTTAGAATACTGTCTGCCCCATTTGGCCGATTTTCTTTGGATGCATTCGGGGACCCAAATTTCGAAGAAGAAATCCTTAAAGACATACACCACCTATACGGGTTCCTTGCGGCTCAAATAGTAAACTTCGAGAATCGCATTGACATCACCCAGAATTCGAAAGACAGCCCTCCGCCAACCCCTTTCAATCTGACTGCCAACGTTATCAACCTCAGTCGTCGCCGCCTTGTCCAGGATCCGATAGTGACCTACGTAATCATAGGGATCTTGACTTTGACGGCACTTCTGAGTCTATTGATGTTGATCACTGATTCGCTCGGCACGGCCTCGTCGAAATCGCAAATATTCAGCATGAGAATCGAGGGCCTTGCACCAGATGGATACAACAGCATAGCCGCAATGACCGCCCTCCTCAGAGACTCAAACGCAATGGACCACCTCCCCGAAGGCGCCGAGCACATGTCCAAGAAGGAACTCCACGAAAAGCTCTCCGGTCTCCGGTTCCGAATGGGTTGGTTCTGGCGCGAGAGTACACAGACGCGGCACTATACCATTGGCGTCTTGGATGATGAGAACTTTGAGTTCCTGGGAAACAAGGATGACATTGCGAGGGAGGATGCGTTGTTGAGGTATCCTCCTGAATGAGGGCGGTGATTTGGCGTGTGTAGACGATGGAGATTGTTGGACAGGTCGTGTGTTTGGTAAAGCCGATGGAGGGGCTTTTGGAAGGACGCCCCAAGACTGTGGGGTGCTCTGGTATGGGATCAGATTGAAACGCTGCTTGGAAGGTCTTTTTTTGCAATTTAATAAGTGGATGGTGAATTTCTACTACGGCAGAAGGGAGGGCAGGCCCCTACGAACGGACAATCAGATTGATAGCTTCAAGACAATGTATCACCAGCTTTGCCATTTTGTTGATTTCCAATGCGTTGAAAGCTTGGCTGGTACATTTGCAATACCGGGTATAGTGTAATCTTTGCCAGTTGGGCATGTAAATAAGGGGGTATAAGACCTATCTAGAAGAACGCCAGGGAAATGATTGTGTGTCTGTCTTGGGGGACGCCGCCCCGCGAATGATCCAGAATAATGATACAGAGTTGCCTTAATAATAATAGTACAATGAGTTTCAGTCAAGCTCATCTAAACCGTCTTTTCGGCAATGCGACATTTGGGAGATGAAGAGGTTATGCGTGACTCAAATGAAAGATGCGGCGCAGATTGCTTTATCGAGGTCCTAGACCAAGACGTAGAGAGCACAAATCTGCCAATCATTAGCTATCGCTCCATGTCGAAAGGAAGCCGGACGACTTACCATGCTCAGGCCCATGACCATGGAACACCAAAAGCACACGTTGTTTAGCGTCTCCTTGCCGCGAACCCACTTTGTGCGCTGCAACACGACGATGGGCAGCTGCAGCATTTGACAGATGAAGCCGTAGCCGCGAAGCTTCTTGGTGATGCAGGCCATGACGATCTCGTGACCTATGGCGGAGATCAAGAAGGTAATGACGGTGGCCGGAAGGCGACCGACGTACGGACGACTGGCGCTGTACACGTGACGACGCAGAAAGCTGTAGACGGGGATGTTCCACTCGCGAGAAAACTCCATCCAGTCGGTCGAGTTCCACCAGTCGGAGTAGAAGTGGCGATCCGCAAAGTGCGTGATTTCGGCAAAGGCGCCAAGGGCGTACTCGAAGATGACAAGGAAGACAAGAAGGAAGGTCAGCATAAAAGGGAAGAGGAGCCAGGAGACGCTCTCTGCTAGGATGAGGAGGGCCTCGGAGACGGGCGGCTTCGGGACTGTACTCAAGCGGATGGAAGCGTCGCTGAGGATGGGTAGGATAAACTCCTCAGATATGACAGTGAGGAGGGAAATGCAGCCAAAGACGGCGATGATCTTGGAAATGAGGTTCTGCCAGTCGATGCGGGCTGTTCGGGGGTACTCGAGCTCGTAGCATAGCGTGGGACACAAGAGATAGTCGAAATAGTTGGACCAGGTCAGGTTGCGAGGATATGCGAGGTTTCCCATAGGCGAGGTGAGCTCCTGGGCCAGATCCTCGCGGAGCTGCTCGATCTCGTCCGAGGTCGAGTCCGTGTCTGACGTGCCTGTGGCCTCCGACTTGGCCTTGAAATCGCGTGTTTTGGGGCTGCTTACGGTACCCATCGGGTTGTCGGGTGTTGGGTACAGGTAGACAGGGTCTTTGGAGGCGGTCGAGGGGTTGTCGAGAGCGTAGAGACGCTTCTCCGTCTCGCTAAGGTGGCCATTGTAAAACGCCCAGCTGTGCGTTTTCATCAGGAGGACCATGGTGTGTAGCAACAGGAAGACCTGTGCGGTCCATGTCCAGTCGAGCACAAAGGGGATGGCAATCCAGAAAACAAGCCATACGACTTGGTAGATGCTCTGGACAGCCATGCCGCCATTCTTCCATGTCAGGGCTCCGTTGGCGGGGGCAGAGCGCCACAGGCGATGGAGGGGTAGTGACACCAGGGTGCTCGCCACCATGAGGAAGTCTGCAATGGCCAAATGCCAAATCTTGATTGTGAAGAGAGTCCAGATCTGGACTCTCATGGGGTATCCAGTATCCTTGATGTTGCGCAGCATGGTGGTGATGGCCATGATGGCGAGGCCGATCCAGAAGAGGTTGAAGAAGCCATGGAAGTCGCGGTAGTCGGAGTTGGGATCAAAGTGGGAAACGCGGCTCGCGAACTCGATCGTGGGGAAGATACGGCGTCGTTGTTCAGCACGGGCTTGCTTCTTCGCCGAGGACATGCTCTTGACGGAGGGTAGGGCATCGTGAGGGACTGGTGTCGAGCGGCCACTGTGACGACATTGACGTTAGCGCTGGTATGTGACGAAAATGGGGAGCTTGCGTGGGGAAGAAGTGTATCTACCTAGTAGTACCGCTGGTCTGGCCAGTCTCTGATAGAGGTGTCAAGCCATTCATCTCGCCGACGGAAGTATTGCTCTGTGTTCTCGTCAACTGAGAATGTTGTGGCTTCCTCGGCCTCGGACGCAGGACGTGATCGTGAGCCCCGCCGTTGGGGGAGGCAGCTGTAGATGCCATGATCTCGGGGGATTTAAGGGGAGGATGAGAGTGACGGTCTTGTTGATTGCCAGATGAGCTATCAATCTGTTGGTTCAGTTGTGTGCATTCGGTGGTGGTCGGTGGTATTCGCAGGAGCAGTCACCGCGCGGTGCGGATGGGATGTAGCTGCGAGATGCAAGCGGCGACTGTGTTCAACGGGATCGCATCCGGATCAGACGGGGCAGCGGGAAGAAGCTTAGTTTAAAGGGCGCCTCGAAGTGGGATAAGGAGGTGGTATTCAGGGTCGCAGATCAGGGGTCGCCATTTCTCGAATCTCGGGTAGTGTCCGCGTATTTGGGATGCGAATTTGGGATTTGGTACGAAGTGCGCAGCTCCGGAGACGAATGGGTAGGTTGATGGGGTGAGAGGCGACGGGGCCGCGTTTTGAAGCGATGAGCAAGGAGCTCTAGATGGTCCCACGAGTCCACGAGTGCAAGTGCCACTCCTGGTTCGCCCAGCTTCCTTGCGTAAGGTGCACTTACGGCATTCCAAGGTTGACGCGGGTGGCCGTTGGGGGCATGGGGCACCTCGGCCACTTTAAGAGGTACGTACCCACCAACACAGCTCAATGCGGCGCCGACCTGCCACTCCTGCCTCACTCTGCTCTTTCCAGACTGTTTCTCTGCAGGCAACTGCACCTCAGCCAACACTTTCCCCTAAGTGCCCGAGAGTGACATAGCACCCAGTTTCTGAGGTGAAAGTCCCTTTTCTGTCATTGTGACTTACGTCAACTCCCACGTGACGAATGGGGTCACGGGCCGAGGTGGGGCCAAGCACTGATTGACCCAATGGTAGCTCGTGATTGCCCCCATCTGGGCTCCTCCTCCAAAAATTCCCGGAGAAAGAGCTCCCCCGGGCGGATCTTGGAAGGAGGTGGAACGCCCGAGTTCCCGCCCGTCCGCTGCTTTCTTTGCGATTGCCCCACGGTTTGCTTTTCGATAGCCCTCCCCTAGATGGATGCTAACGTCACTTCATGCAGCTCTCAAAAGCCCAGACAGACAACAGACGTGGCCGAGGCCGCGAATATCGTTACATCGGCTAGCCATCCAAGATCAGTTGGCCCCGTTGGGATCTGGAGAAGCCCCGGCTCCGGTGGCCGATCGCCGGCGGGAACTGACCAGTGACTGAGGATGCTTGATTGGCATCCCGGCTTTGCAAACCGACGCCTTACGAGGCTTGGACCTGCACAGCCGAGAAGATGCAATGCAGTGTGTCTCCGCGTATATCATAACAACTCAACTTATCTCGTTGCCTTGTCGTGTCACTTCCATTCGCTCAAGAGGACGAAAGCCATTGCAGATCGCCTGTGGTGTGTCCCAAGTGTGGCTGCAGCTTACGCCACCACAGCCACCTTTTGGCACCGCCACATTCTCGACCGTTCTTATCACGGCATTCTTGCACCTCTGCTAACGTCTGCCGAGTCCAAGATCTGCCTAAGTGTGTGTCGTCTTCCGTCATTGAACTACCGCTGACAGCGTCACAGGCTAGACACGACATTTGCACTAGAAAGTAGCTTGATGAGCTAAGCATAACTTTTGCGCCTGCCGTCCTGCCAATGAAACGAACTGGCAAATGCTAGGTCTGGCTGAGCAAGGCAGTCTATTTTCACTTACAAACAGTCGTTTTGCTTGACGTTGAGTCGATGCTCTACCGTCTGCCGTTCGAAAGCTGACAAGTCTCCTTACGCCGATGTTAGCTATCTTATGTTGAATTCTACACAAACCGAGAAGAGGCCGAACCTCTTCACGGCACTAACCGGCGGGATGTGAACAAAGCGGCATATGCCCCGTCTTCTGGGCTTGGCATGTCGAAATTTTCAGCAACATCGACTCTCGAGTCTAAAAGAGCCTCAAAACGGTCTTTGACCACAAGCGTTCTACACCCAAGCCTGGAGCCGCGGAAAACCAACAAAACTGCGTCAACCGCCGAAGCCATTACTAGCAGGACTGCCAGGACAAGGAATAGACCGCGCTGATATGATACATCGGAAATGGGACGGCAACAAGACCGTTGCGGATGTCGCTACCACATTACAACGTTACGGGTACCTTGCCTTACGGAGTACGCGAACATCTCGATGGCCCCCCATTTGATGATTGGGCACCAATTTCAATTGGTTCCAAGGGTTATGACGTCCCGTCGGCCCGCCCCATCTCAGGTCAAAACTTGCACTCAGGCGATCTTTTTTGCTGCTAGAGATAAGAGTTTTATCTGTTATTGATTCAGTCTCTCTCCATCTCTTTTCAGTGCGACGCGCTCAGAGATCTTCCTTCTTTTCCCTCCCTTTTCCACAACTGTTCAAAGACGGAATGCTTCCCTGCTAGCAATAACGACGCTGGAGGCGTCGAACTTCACGAGAAGAAGTGATTATACACACATACCGAATACCCAGTCATCCAAAGGGCTGAAGTCCCCACCGCACACGCGACTCAGAACCGCACAGCACACGACCAAAAACTTACACTTTAAGCGATAAGCAACGTCAGTTGTGTTTATTCTCAACTGCCCGATGGCCGCTCCACAAATCACAACACCAACGTTAGCACCCGAAGTCATTCC